CTTCCTGTTAAAAGGGAGTTTTTCCTTCCCACTGTCGCCAAAGTGCTTGCTCACAGGGGGTCATATGATTGTTGGGTTTTTCTCTGTATCTATTATTGTACGAGCTACTGTGCAATATAAAGCACCTCGAGGTGACTGTTGTTGTGATTTGGTGCTGTATAATTAAAGCTGAACTGAACTGATTCAAGCGTGTCCACTGACGACCTGCAGGTGTGAGGTGTTTGTGGTCCGTCCAGCGCTCTGTCTGTGGTCTCATCTTTCCCACAGTCTGGAGTTTCTCCTGGTAAAACTTTAACACTTCGAGTTTTCCAAACAACAAAAAGTCCTGACAGCACCAGGTCCTCCTTAAATGACTGCTGTGGCCTCCGTCTGTAAACTCACTGCTTTCAAGAAGCGTCCGTGTCGCGTTGGACACATGAAAAGTTTGATCCTGACAGATTTTCTCCTCGGCTGCTTTAATTCCAGACTCTGACTTTTCTGTGAGGATCCAGGTCCAGCAGTCTCAGACAAACATCCACAGCCCAGAGGAGCTCTGAGCGACCCTGACCTACAGGTTACACTCACCTGAGAGGACGCAGACGGCGTGCAGCGGCGGCAGCATGGTGGTGTTGTTCCTGCTGCAGACAGACAAATGGATGAGCAGTCAGATGAGTCAGTTGTCGCTCTGACTTCCTCTTTCCACTCAGTTATTCATAGAGTCGTCTCGCCGGCACAAAACAGGCCGGAGGTCAGCAAACATGTTTGAGATGAGCCGTCGCACCATCAGAGCTCCACGTCGCTCCACCCCATGTCTCCATGTCAGAGTGTGCTCATGGCAATACTACAGACAGCATGTTCAGCAGGTTAAAGCTCACCTGACAATGACCTTTCACCTTTCATCAAACAAATGTCAATTTTGTTTTTGTATCTTTATTCTGAACAACAACAGAGAAAAAAAAGACAAAGTCAAACAATCACAAATAACTCAGCAGGAAGAAGCATCAGCTTATTTAACCCCACCCCCCTGTTTCCTAACTAACAGTAAGTAGTAGTCGACACTTTTTCTTCCTGTTACGTCCATCAGAAATATATTTATTTAAAACAACTTAAAGATATATATACACTCATGTAAACATACTCACACAGTGGTGATGGCAGCTACATTGTAGCCACAGCCACCCTGGGGCGCACTGACAGAGGCGAGGCTGCCGGACACTGGCGCCACCGGGCCCTCTGACCACCACCAGTAGGCAACGGGTGAAGTGTCTTGCCCAAGGACACAATGACCGAGACTGTCCAAGCCGGGGCTCGAACCGACAACCTTCCGATTATACGGCAAACTCCCAACTCTTGAGCCACGATCGCCCCGTATAAGTTGCAGTAAGTTGCAGATGTATGTCAGTGGCTCTGAGATTCCTTCTATGACCTTCTTTACAATCAGTGCATGTTTTATATTTACATGTTTACAGTCTCAATGATTTCTTTTCCCACTGCTGTGAGGAACATTTCTCTGCTGATGGCAGTGACTCAGGAATTCGTTCTGTCAGATTTGGTCCAATATTTGCAGAATCATTATTAAAGCTTTGACAGCATCAGCAGCTTTTTCCATTATGTTGCCAATATCAGTAAAATATTGTTTGCAGTGAGCTGTAACTCCGCTGGCCTGGTTTCGCATTCTGTTTAGAGTTTAAAGATGTTTCCTGTCAGTTTATTTCTGCTGCTGTTGATCAATAATCAATCTATCAATAACAGTGAATATTTTTTAAGGTGGAACTTTAAACATTTGGACCTGAGCAGCATCATCAGGTGTAATGTGCTGTACTATTCCTTGTTGCTTCATGGCAGCCACACTTGGTTGTGATTTCTGTGCTCTTGAGCAAAGAACCAGTTTTAAATGGTCTTTAGGCTCAGTGTTAGCAGCAGGTCCACCTGAGTTATGGCTCAGATTTACAACAAAACTCCCCAGCTAGCTTAGCTATTCATTAGAAAGCTAATGCGCTAACAGCTAACATGTTAGCAGCTCTTGAGCTAGCTAGCTTAGTCCAAGCTAGCTCGCCCACACACCTTGTCTTACCTTCAGTCTGGTGTGTCGCAGGTGAAGAAAGTCACAAATTGATGACAACGCAAATCCACGAAGCGAACGCAAGTGAGACGCAGCGAGCTTTAGAGTTTGTTTGTTTTGTTTCTTTTTAGTTGTTGTTTAGGTTTTTATTTTGTTTATTAGTTTGAAGGTTTTTAGTTTGGAGTTTATTGGTTTGAGTTGTTGCATACCTGCAGTGGGAGTCGAACCCACGCTGTGATGCTGACGCTCCGGGCTGGATGTAGCGTTGTTCCCTCGTGGACCATCTTCAGCGCTGATGAAGCCTCAGCAGGATGAAGCCTGACGCAGAAAACAGACTCGGGTCCTTCACTACACACCTGCACACAGTCTGAGCAGGAAAACAAGCCTCAGCACAGAAACTGAGCATGAAGGCTGCGTCCCCTGTGGAGGAGGAGTCCATGTTTGGTGCTCGTATAAGCCAATCAGAGCCTCTGAGGTGACGTGCAGATGCTGCAACTGTGCGGCTCTCTGTGGTTCACACTGCTGTTAGCTCAGGTTCAGGCTGGACCGGAGTCTTCAGTGGCTCAGCAGGTAAAGCAGCTCCCCCTGCAGTCATGAGACCACAGGTTCAACTCTCACAGCTCCCTGTTTTCTTCATGTGGTGACGTGTCCAGGTGTGCTCTGCCTCTCGCCCTGCAGCTGGGATGTAAAGTGAAGCTCGGCTGTGTTTTTGCTCTGCAGAGCCAAACAGGAGCAAACAGTAAAGCAGCGCGCTGTGACCTCACTGTCCTGTAAGCGCAGTAACCGTGGTGACAAGACACAGGTGCTGGGTGAGGGTCGTGTTACGTTCACTGAACTCCAAACTCTGCAGGATTCATTGACGATGCGCTCCCGCCCGGCCTCCCGCCTCCTCCGCCCGCAGTCATCTCCGTGTTACCCAGCAGGTGGAGGCTCGCCTCTCGCGCTCAGCCGCAGCTCAGATTTAATTCATGCTGCCGAGACGTTCACAACAACAACACGCCGCCTGCTGAGGAGGAGAGGGAGGTCAGAGCCTCGTTAACCCGGCGGAGACGGAGGGAAATCAGGTCGACCTCGTTACCCGCTGATGTCACTTTATTGGTGGTTGCCATGACTGCGACGATGATGGAAGCAGCATGTTTGTTTCTTTCAGTGTCTGAGACGAGGAGACGACACGTCCGTCTCCATCCGACCTGCTGATTCTGCAGCTGCTGCCATTAAACACCAAAGAAGAAGACGCACGGGGACGTGATGTCATTAAAAAAGCTCCAATCAAACACTTTGCACAACAAATGAACTCTTTAACCTCAAAAAGCGACGTGTAAGAGAGTTAATCTGATATGAATCGTGTCAAAGGTCACGACCCGAGAGGAATTCAAACCCACAACCCGACCACGGCCTGAAACCTGGAGCAGGAAACCAGCATCGACCACAAAGACCAGACCAGGAAGCAGAGACAGAGAATGAAACTGTGATGAATGACTGTGCCTGACTGTGTCTGAGCTCCCTGCTGCTGATCACAGATCAGCTTTAAAACTGAGTCAAATGCTGCGCGTGCGTTCAGGTTAAAGCCGTCTCTGACCCGGGAACGAGCCGGCGTTCAGAGGCAGGCTCTCAGCTTAATGAGCACGAGATTAGCATCGGCGTCGACGCCGTGAGCTAATGTGAGCACGGCGTCTGTGTCAGGCGTTTCTATGACAGCAGGTGTGAGTGAAGAGCGTGCAGCCGCACTCATTATGTCTTTATGAGACACCGTTAGCACATAATCAGTGTACACGACCCCACAGAGTACTCTGATTACACTCTGTTCCCACAGAGCAAATGGAAGAAACAAACCGAACAGTGACGTCTGTGGTAGCTGTGAGCTGCACTCAGACCTGCTGGATCCAAGGTCAACGTATCAGGATATCTTTAATGATCTGGCTTCACTGACAGTGTGACGCCGAGGTTCATCCTGCTGCCTCGGGGTCGAAGGTCACAGGGTTCAGGTTTGGCTCTGACCCTTTCTGCTCTGTCTGTAAGACTGATGAGGACAGGCTGCATTACTCCACCTGTCCGGTTGTTCTCTCCTCTCGGAGGCGATGGTGTGCGCTCTGTGATGTAGGACGATGCAGTCCTCGCCCAGGCAGACTTTAAATGGACGGATGTGGGAACAAACATCCACCTCCGCTGCGAGCAACCACGCTATCCCGCCCTCGCCCTGGTATTCCTGGACCAGGAGGCGGAGCTCGGCGTTCTTCCTCCTTCCCGGGGTCAGAGCTGCAGATGGTCCCAGCGGGTTTGTTTGGCATCCGCCTTCTTTCATAAAAGTTTTGTTTTGACGGGATGATCGACTCCACCTCCAGCATCGTTTGGACATGAGGATGAAGATGTGAACGCCTGCACAGAAGACGAAAGAGGAAACGTCCCCCGTTAATGAGGTGGTTGATGCGTGCACGTGTTTGCACTGTGACCATGCACGGGGAGGCCCCGCCCACTCACACTGCTACAGGGACCAGAGTCAGTCAGGATGTTCCTGAGCTAAGAGCTAAAGGGCGGCGCTGCCATAATGAGCCTCGTCCCGCCCCCTGATGTGGAGCACTGCTCATAACATGGAGTCTGTTTACGTGTCACAGCTGACATGACCCTGAGCCTGACTGTAACCCTAAAAACACGGTTTGAGTCTCAAACTGTTGGTCCCCACAGAGATATGAAAACACGCACACACACACACACACACACACACACACAC